TGAGTTGGGAATTCTGAATTCACAATAATTAAATGATAGGGTAACAGCATCTAAGTTGGGTTCAAAATAATCTTTCCTTAGAATTTTGTCTTCTGTATTAGTGTTGCTGATGAGAACCACAGACTGATTTGATTACCGATTCCTTCCAGGTAATGTGTCTCTCATGCTGTTCAACCCAAGTGTTGGGGATTTTCTGTCTATCCTTGGAATTCAGAAATTTCATGAGGGTATAGTTTTTCATCATTCTTGCCCAGCACTCATTGAGCCCTTTCAATTTGTAGATTTGAGCCTTTCTTCAGCAGAGACATTTTTTTCTTTTGATTCATTGACTCTTTTATTCTCTCGATTCTATTTCTCTCTTCTGGAATGTCTGGTAGGCAGCTTCTAAAAGTTTGCCTATAGCTTCCAAGGCTCAGTATGTATTTTATTCTCATTATCTTCTTTGCGTTTATTCACTGAATATGGAGGACGGCTCTAACACTGTCTTCCTGTTCACAATTTGGTCTTCATTCATCCCTATTCTGCTCTTCAGTCCATCCGTTGAAATATTTTTTTATTTCCACATTGATGTTTTTCCCAAGCATGAATTTTTAAGAACTCTTTCTTTTTATAGAATGCCTTTATTTCTGTAAATGGAACTTCCTGACTTCCTCAAGTATACCAACTATCGTATTTTAACTTTCTTTTTGTGGCCACGCCCTCATGACATGGAGGATCTGGGTTCCCAGACCAGGGATCAAATCTGTGCCCCCTGCAGTGAAACCTCAGAGTTTTAACCACTGGACTGCCAGGGAAGTCCCCCAACTATGGTATTTTAACGTTCTTTTCTTTCTTGATTAACACTTTCATCAGCAGTTCGTTCATTTATTTGTAGCATCGGATGACACTTCTGTTGGTTTTCCTCATTTGTTTCATGCTTTTTGAATGCCCGTTAGTTTCATATGAGATTTTCATCTGTTTAGAATAAGAAGTTCAGATATATTTCCCAAGGCCAGGTGAGAATCCCTGCTTTCTTAGGAGTAAATAGAGATTTGGTTACAGTGGTCCTAGCTCTAATGGTTTTGAGGGTGGAAGGGAAAAAGCGTACACTGGCTACTTTCTCTGGCTCCAGTGCCTTCTCTGGGAGCCTCAGGTATCATAACTCTCACTTTATTTGGCAATCAATAAGCTTTACTTAAAATTTTCACTTGGGGGAAAAAAATCCAGGATCCACCACTTCTACGGCAGAGAATGGGTGCAGATGTTTGCAGCTCATGAATTAATTACCAGCTCACCATCATATCAGTTCCTTCTCCCTGTCCCTGATATCTCTGAACTTGAGGTTATTCTGGTGTTTCAAATAGAAAGTTCACTTTTTGAAGAGCCTCTCTTTGTGTTTTCGTGGGTTGTAGGTGCATTGGCTGTTTCATGCGTCTATTAATCTGATCACAATCAGCTTTATATCTTACACAAATAACTTCTATTTTGGTGCTCTGATAATACCCTGCCTGGATTTCCAGTTCCACTTTTAGGAGATTCTGTTTTGTTTTTTCCTGTCTGGTTTTTTGTTGTTGTTGTTGTTTAAACTTACATGAGATTCCCAGGTGGCACAGTAGTAAAGAATCCATTTGCCAATGCAGGAGAGGCAGGAATCGCAGGTTCGATCCTTGGGTTGGGAAGATTCCCTGGAGTAGGAAATGGCAGCCCACGCTAGTATTTTTGCCTGGAAAATTCCATGGACAGAGGAGCCTGGTGAGCAACAGTCCACGGGGTTGCAAAGAGTCAGACACGACTGAGTGACTGTGCACACACATAATTTACATACAGTAAAATCCACAAACATTAAGTATACATTTCTACTTCCAAAGTTTCCCTTTAAGTGACTTTTCAGCATTTACTTGTCTGTCCTTCCCATTAGACTCAGGGCTGTGAAGGCCATATTAACCAGCTATGCTTATATCTGGAACAACTCTTGGTACCTAGCAAGTATTCTACATGTTGGAAGAAGAAAGGAAGATTGGAGTCAAGTCACTGTCTGTCCTCAGTTGCCAGTGGGTGTTAATATTTAGCTCAGCTACTCATCCTTGGAGGAAGCCAATGCAGACAATCCTCAGATGAGTCACCTCCCTACATGTCTCATTTCCTGTTCATTCAAGGGCTCCATGGCTCCTGGATGATCTATCCCCAGGGGACTGTCTCCCACAGTGACTGTCTCCCGGACTCTGATGTCACTCCACGTTGTACCGACTTGCTCCCACAGTGGTTTTCAAATGGATATGAGTGAGAAACTTTGAGTCTGTGCCAAAGTGGGTAATGGAAAAGGAAGCATGTATTAGCCAGTTCAAAAGATTTCTTGTGCTTTGATTTTCTCTGGCAGGTTTGTGGAATAAACCCTAAGCACTCACAGGTAATTTTTTTTAATCAAATTATTCTTTGTCATCATGGCAGTTACTTCTTATCAATATCGCTATTGATATACTATATCAATAATTTGCCAATATCGCATAGTATTGGGCTGACAGGCCATAGACCTTAGACGCTCACATAAAACACAGGCTGTCAAACATCATCTAAATCAAGTCACCTACACCTTCCCAAACTGACTAGCTCTCCATATTACCAACTCATCAGCTGCTGTCAGAGTTCCTCTTTCGGGAATCCCTCTGCTTCACTTCCCTGCTGCATACTACTTGGGAGACTTCTCATTCACATGACTTCATATGATCCAAAATGTTGAAAGCAAAACTGGAAGTTGTTGACTCCCATAATCTGAGAGGTGCACTGAGAGATCTGACTTAAGGTGTGACTTGACGAAACGCAAGCGGTGCCCCTGGAGTCCAGTGTCTCTCTCTCAGGTCTGCTTGCTCTGTCCTTCAGGTTCTCACTGCATTTCTACATGATAGCTGCTGCAGATCAGTTCTTACATCCTCTCAGCTTCAAACCCAATGGACAGAGAAAGCTTCTCTTCCCCAGAAGTGACACAAAAGCCTTGAGACTTTTTCTCCCTCAGGACAGAGGTCTCCATAGCCACGCCACGTCCTGGATAATAGGATCAATAAATATCCTAGAGCTACTAGAGCTCAGCCTGAGTGTGGGATCAGCCTCACCCAAACCCCAAGGACTGAGCCAGGAAGGAGGGATTCGTGATACAGGGAAACACTTTTATCAGCAGGGTAAATGGTGCCAGGCAGCAAGGACAGTAGGTATGACTCTAAGTTGTGAGCACACTGGTCCTTCAGAACCCCTCCCTTCTCAACTTACCAGATCTGCCTTTTCACAAATCAAAGCTTATCTGAGCTGGACTGCCTCTCCTTATGGGATTCCAGGATGTATGAGTCTCACCATTCTGGGAACTACTTCGTGTTTTATTATTGTTGTTGTTTTAAACTATATCTACCTAAAGAGTTATTTACGCCCCAGACTGAACACAGTACTTGGGGGATAGATTGACCAGTGTAGAATCAAGTGGATCTTTTCCCACAGGTCCTAATAATAAATCCTTGTAGTAGACTCACATTTTGTATAAGTCAAGTGTACAACCTTAAATGCATACCCGTTACATTGTTGGGTGCAGTTCATTACACTTAACCTCTGGTCTTCTAGAACCCAATGACTACAGAATACCCTAGAAATGGCTTTCTAGAGATCAACTTTCCAACTTTTCTGGGAGTAATGAGCCTGAAGTTACCTCAGATTAACTCCCAGGACCTGTCTGTCTAGGGTGGCCTAAGGGGAAGGTTCCAGGCAAGAAGGCTCCATGGCTTCCTCCCGCCGCATTTGTAGTCTCTGCCAGGATGCAGGAAGGACTGTGGCTTCTAAGTCAGTCAAGTTTTTAAGAAGCATTTCTCTGCCTTAAACAAAATCCTATGGGGGTGGGGGTGGGGCTCACATTAGGGGGACTTTCATCTGCCCAGAACAAGAAAGAAATCATTAAGGCGGAAGCCTTCAAACTAGACCCTAAAAGATGAGTAGATTTTCAAAAGATGAAAACAGGGACCCAAAGGAGAACACAAGACAGAAAAGAGTTTTTCTCTGGAAAAAAAAAAAAAAAACTGCAAAGAAATTTGCTAAGGGTTGGAGACACTCAAAGAAAGTCAGAAGTTGAAAGGAGAGTCTTTCCTGGTGGGTCCAGTGGTTGAGAATTCAGCTTCCAGTGCAGGGGGTGTGAGTTCGATCCCTGGCTGAGGAGCCAGGATCCCACATGCCTCAGGGCCACAAAACCAGAACATTAACAACAGAAGCAATATTGTGGGAAATTTAATAAAGACTTTGAAGGTGGTCGACATTAATAAAGAAAAAAGAAATGGAAAGGAGACTCCTGCTTATGCCCAGTGCTAAGCCTCCAAGCTCTTAAAGACTTTCCCCAGGAAGTGTCTCCAAGTCAGGGTGCTCTTTAATTATAGCAAGAAGAGCCCCCCAATCTGAACCCCACTTTTCAGAGGGTCCTGCCAATTACAAACACTTTCTCAAAAATTAAATGCATTAATGCACATAATAATCCTTTCTGGTTCATCATTTGATTATGAAAGTCATGAGTGATTTAAGGAACTTTTATTTTTTAGACCTTTGAGAAATAAATAGTCTTTATTAGGCTCAGATCAGGACCCTGAAAGTCTTGAGGACGTCTGTGTATTCATCAGTTTTCTGCTCCACGTTCTTTTCAGCCTGTTTCCGTAGCCTCGTGAGCTGTTCTTCCTGTAACCGATCTTACCCTACACTCCTTCTACTTCTCCTCCAGCGGGGCTGTCGCTGCCAGCTTGTGAGCCAGAAACCCGGGGGGAAGCAAACTTTCACACAAGCTTCACACAAACGGCCTTGAGGGCAACAGGAACCACTCTTTGCTTTCCCTGCTCAGAGGGCAGCGGGGTCCCATCAAACACCTTGAGGGCTCAGGGTGGCCTGGCATCACTTGGTTTTGGGGAAGGCCTGCCACGCACCCTCCAAAAGATGCGGCTCAGAAGAGGCAGCGGCTGCGGATGGATCGGTGTTCATCCACTTGCAGAGGAAGATCAGGATTTTACCATGTTTCTGCAGAACTGCCAGAAATGTTGGTGCCCTCACAGCACATGTCAACCACCTTCCAGCCCAGCGGTACCTGCTTGATCGGGAAGGGCGTCTGGTTGCCCAGGGAGACGGACAGGGCCATCAGCCTAGGACCAACGCTCTGCCACCGAGGGCATCCGCCTGGGAAAGGTAAAACATTTTAATACAGAGAAGTTACAACGAAGAAAAGGAAGAAAAAAAAGACGGCAAAAACTTGAAAATTAATTTAACAAAAATCACTCAGGGACTTCCCTGGTGGCGCAGTGGATAAGAATCTGCCTGCCAATGCAGAGAACAGGGCTGGGAATCTTCCCTGGTGCTGGAAGGTTCCACATGCCCCAGAGCAGCTAAGACCTGGGGCCACCACGGCTGAGCTTGTGCACCGACAGCTTGAGCTCCGCAAGAGAAGCCAGCACAGTGAGAAGCCTGATCGCCCCACGAAGAGCAGCCCCTGCTCGCTACAAACTAGAGAAAGCCCGAGAAAAGCAAGCAAGACCCATGTGGCCGGAAAAGAAAGTCGTTAACTTAAAAATCGCTCAGCCTTCTTAGCCATTTGTAACTCTAAACATCCACGCCCATGATCAACCCCACCCAGACTCAGGAAACGTTTCTCCACGTCTGTTGCCCCACATTATTGAAACACAGTGTCGCAGCTAGCTTCCAGATGCCCCAGGAGTTTCTCATTGTGTCACTGCTGACATCAGAGGTAGATGCTTCCCAGGGTAGGGAGGTTTGAGAACTGAAAGAACATAAAAGAGACAGAACACAGATTAATTTATTAAATCCCTTCTCTGTGATAGTTCGGATGTAACATGTTTTCATGATGAAATACCATTTTCCAGCAGTGCTGAGGGTCCACTATCTGTTTTTCTTCAAGTTATAGCTAATCCATGGCTCACCAGTTTGCAGTTTTGCAACCATTGTCTCTGACCGTTGAGGAACATTTTGCAACATTAAGAATTCATGTGACTTTTAATTTTGTCAACATATTGCTCTACATTTAATATATAGGAAGCTGATCCCAGTTCTTTACTGTTGGCAACTGAGTATTAAAGTCTGGAACTGTGAATAGTTTTATTTTTATAGTTTTATTTTTTAGATTTCATAGCTTAATCAAATCTTTACAAAATTAAAAGTCAGAGGGAGGGGATGTTGTTCATGTTGTTGTATGGCAGAAACCAACAGAACATTGTAAAGTCATTATCCTCCAATTAACAATAAAAAATTTTAAAATAAAACTACAAAAAAAAGTCAGCTTTATTTAAATAATTTTGACATCAAGTGTTGATATTATCCCATTATAATTTGCATTTTACTATTGATTGTAATGAAAGAGTTTGACTGTTTTAGAAGACAATTTCTTATTATATTAAAATAATTTAAAATTTTGATTTACTGTATTTGATAAAATATATTCAAATTTTATATCCTGTGAACACAGTAACATTTTATTTTTAATGCTGCAGGATTAAATCAGACCCACCACCTGGTTTTGTTTTGTAAGCAAGGTTTTACTGGAACACAGCTACATCACTCATCACCTACAAGTTGTCTATGGCTGCTTTTTTATTCTGGGCTTCCCTGGTAGTTCAGCTGGTAAAGACTCAGCCTGCAATGCGGGAGACCTGGGTTCGATACCTGGGTTGGGAAGATCCCCTGGAGAAGGGAAAGGCTACCCACTCCAGTATTCAGGCCTGAAGAATTCCACGGACGGATTAGTCCATGGGGTCACAAAGAGTCGGACACGACATTCTAGTGACTGTGCTGTGCTTAGTCGCTCAGTCCTGTCCGACTCTTTGCGACCCCATGGACAGTAACCCGCCAAGCTCCTCTGTCCACGGGGATTCTCCAGGCAAAAATACTGGGGTGGGTTACCACGCCCTCCTCCAGGGGATCTTCCCAACCCAGGGATCAAACCCAGGTCTCCCACATTGCAGGCAGATTCTGAGCCACCAGTGAAGCCCATTCTAGTGCCAGAGTTGAGTAATTTTCAAAGAAACCATATGGCCCACAAAACCTAAAATTTTTACTATGTGATCCTCCATAGAAAAAGTTTGTCAACCTCTGCGTTGGATGTTTACTGTCAAGACTGTACAAATTATGAGAAAATCTTCAGTATGTCAATATAATTTTGCTAAAATGAATAGAAAAACATGGGGGTACATATATATATATATATATATATATATATATATATATTATAAGTTGTATATGTCTTTATTCAATGACTCATCCAAACATCACTGGCTACTCAAGAGAACACCCAGACATGCGCAGTAATAATTAAATTCCGTCATCTTAACAGTCTGCCAACTTTCAGCTGTATAAAAGTCAGAGCGTTTGAGATATTTTTCAACTGTGTAGGGAAACATATTATTTAATATGGGGCATGTTTACTGTTGCCCCAGGCTCTGCAAATGTAGGGGTTGTGGGGACTGCCAGCCTCTGCTGTGAAAGCTGCCTGTGTTCTGAGGTATGGAGGGCTAGGCCTGGATGCAGGAGCTTGGGAGATGAACCTGCTGCTTTCTTTAAAAAAAATCTTTGGCAGCCTGTGAGCTCTTAGTTCCCCAGCCACAGATTGAACCCATGCCCCTGCATTGGCAGTGCAGAGCCTTAACCACTGGACCACTAGGGAAAGCCCTGACCCTGTGGCTTTGATGAGAGTTTGTATGGAGGGAGCAGGGTTGCACGGCTGCTAGGTTGTTTGGACAGACACAGGACCTCCAGTGTCTCCTCTCCCCTTCTGCATCAGACCACGGGGGACCAGCTTTGACCCTAGAAGCCCATGTGAGCTTCCAGGCCAGGTGTGTGGGTGGCTTGGCCCCGGGAAGAACTCCTGAGATATCGTCAGCACAGAGACAGCCCTCTCGCCCACACCAGCAGCTCGGCGTTTCCTCCAACAGCTGTGGTCTCCTGGCAGCTGTCCAGACTCTGCTCTGCCTGCCCCAGCAGAACCTCCATGCTTACAAGAGCCGTTGGGGCTTGTGGTGACCATGCCACTCAAAATGTCAGGCTGGTGCTCAGGGTCCATCCATCCTGGGGGTGGCAACCGATCACAAAATGCCTCAAACCTTTCCTTCACTGCCAGATTTAGCAACTGAAAGTATAGGATTGTTGTTCAGTCTCTCAGTTGTGGCCAACTCTTTGCAACCCCAGGGACTGAAGCACGCCAGGCTTCCCTGTCCTTCACCATCTCCTGGAGCTTGCTCAAACTCATGTCATTGAGTCTGTGATGCCATCCAACCATCTCATCCTCTCCTTCTCCTCCTGCCTTCAGTCCTTTCCCAGTATCAGGGTTTTTTTTTCTAATGAGTCAGTTTGTTTGCATCAGGTGGCCAAAGTATTGGCGCTTCAGCTTCAGCATCAGTCCTTCAAATGAATATTCAGGACTGATTTCCTTTGGGATGAACTGGTTGGATCTCCTTGCCGTCCAAAGGACTCTCAAGAGTCTTCTCCAACACCACAGTTCAAAAGCATCAATTCTTCAATGCTCAGCTTTCTTTATGGTCCAACTCTCACATCCATACATGACTATTGGAAAAACCATAGCTTTGACTAGATGGACCTTTGTCAGCAAAGTAATGTCTCTGCTTTTTAATGTGTGGTTTAGGTTGGTCATAGCTTTTCTTCCAAGGAGCAAGCATCTTTTAATTTCATGGGTGCAGTCACCATCTGCAGTGATTTTGGAGCCCAAGAAAATAAAGTCTCTCACTGTTTCCACTGTTTCCCATCTATTTGTCATGAAGTGATGGGACTGGATGCCATGATATTATCTTTTTGAATGTTGAATTTTGGGTCAGTTTTTTCATTCTCCTCTTTCACTTTCATCAAGAGGTTCTTTAGTTCCTCTTTGCTTTCTGCCATAAGGGTGGTGTCATCTGCATATTTGAGGTTATTGATATTTCTCCCAGAAGTCTTGATTCCAGCTTATGTTTCATCCAGCCTGGCATTTTCCCTGATGTACTCTACATATAAGTTAAATAAGCAGGGTGACAATATACAGCCTTGATGTACTCCTTTCCCAATTTGGAGCCAGTCTGTTGTTCCATGTTTGGTTCTAACTGTTGCTTCCTGGCCTGCATACAAGTTTCTCAGGAGACAGGTGAGGTGGTCTGGTATTCCCATCCCTTTAAGAATTTTCTGCAGATTTAGCAAATGAAAATATAGGATACCCAGTTAAATTTGAATTTCATATCAATGACAAATACTGTTTCAGTGTAAGTATGACCCATGCACTCATCATGCACACTATAATATAAATATCTCATGCCATAATATTGTATAATATGATATCATATGTCCCATGTATCACTCCTTAGACAAGCAGTGGGGCGAGTAAGAACTGTGGCCTTTGAGGATCATTGCTTTTTCTGTGCTAAGGAGACTTTGGAGGCCTTGTGTTTTAGATGGTACAGCGACCATGCCTGGTCCATAGAAATGAATTTTATTTATTGTTGGAAGCTGTGAATGTTTAGGGTTTATCTGTTATCATAGCATCACCTAGACTCTCTTGATTATTACATCATCCAAGACCCTGCCCAAACTTCACTCTGGTTCCTTCTCCTTCCATTGTGCTCCTCCAGTGTATTTCTCTCCCTCTAACCAGGGCAAGGTTATTTGTCTTATTTGTCTTATTTGACCTTGTGACCACAGGACCTCACATAGTATTTACTCTAGTGTATGATAAATGAATGGCTAATAATTTCCTGGGTTTGGAGCTAGGAGGTATCTTCATATGTCCCTTGGTCTCAGCATAAACCTCACTTCTCCAGGTTTTCTGTTATTTCTTAAAGGATCACCTCCCTTTAAAGGTCTGCAGTCTTGGGAAACTGAATTGCGTGTAGCTGTGTTATTTATACAGTGACTGGTAATCTCTTCTGAGCAAGAGATGGTGGGTGATGACATTCATTCTTAGTCACAAATTAAAAGAGAAACATGACAATGTCATTTCCACTGCGAGAGAAAAGGTCACCTGGCATTCTGAAGCCCTAATTGCAAGGCTGCGCTTGCATTCTAATCATCTATTCTTTCTGGAGATGCCATTGCCACTGGTGCAGAAAACTTGCGTCCATAGTCTACGAAGAAGAAAGAAGGAATGATTAT